CATACGTATACTAGTGGAGTCAACCCTAACTGACTTCAGAAACTCAAGGATTGACTTGTTACCAGGAAATAATCTCGTTGACTTAGAATATGCAGATGATATAGTCCTCCCAGGTGAAGACAGACGCTGACAAAATGCAGGGTCTTCTGAACACCTTGAGCTGGAATCTACGAATGTTTGGCATGTGATTCGCTCCTACTATCAAATGTAAGGTGATGCGACAGGAATGGACTACACTGACTCCTAGCTTAAAGCTAGGGAGTAAAGTGGTAGAGCGTGTTGACCACCACTTCACTTATTTGGGAAGTTGCATCAGCTCTAACAGGTTGATCCCTGACGAAATCTCAGCACGGATACAGAAGGCTCGTTTCGCATGTGACAACTCACGCCATTCCTGGTGTAGACGCGATATCCGGCTATTGACCAAAGGGCATGTGTACTACTCATCAGTCCGCTCCGTCCTCCTTTATGGCTGTGAGAAATAGTCAGAGAAGGTGGAAGACATGAAAAGCTTGTCTAGCTGCCTTTGATCATAGGTGCCTGCGTTCTATCTCCCGTGTGAAGTCGTATGATAGAGTGAGCAATATTGAGGTGAGGCATCGGTCGAGTTCTAGGTAAGGAGGGGGATATCAATCGACGAGACTGTAAAGCTAGCTACATCGACTGAGATGGTTAGGATATGTGTTACGTGTGCCTAGTCATCGCACTCTCGACGGGCAATGCTAGCTGACATAGGGTCAAGGCTGGAAAAGATCTAGCGTCGGTCAAACCAATAGATGGCACTAGTCAATGAAACCCACAACAGTTAGTCTAAGCCACGTAGGAAGGTGTAGACTTCCTGGTTTGGGGTCCTCGAGACGGTAGAAACCAATGGCTAGAGACAATCGGTGATATGGCTCAAAATCGTTGTCAATGGTGCGGATGCGTTCACTCTCTGTGATTTGTAGTATCCAATAAAACTCTATTGTTCTTCCATATCACTATTCTTTTTGCATCATATCTCTGTTTTCTGGCGCTATTTTGCACTTTCTTTTACTTTCATCTCTTGCTTTATGTACTAAGTGGAGTGTGGCGACTTTAACTGCTGCACATCGGTATAAATTTCTATGTCGAAAACAGACAGACAGATGGCTGTTCGCTTCATCATTCTTCAGTTTTATGTGATATGGTCATGGAAAGTGAGAGATGATGACTTCTGCTGTTTTCGAGGAAAGATGTTTGCGTTTTGTTTCCTGTGTTCAGTGGTATAATATAGTGAATAAAAGTGAGCTTAGGAGTACAAGTGTCCATTAGGTTGGGAAGGCAGCTAATCTAGTAATTTAGTTGCATCGATCGGGATGGTACTGAAAAGTGTAACATATGCCATGTCATCCAGCAGTGTTAGTTGACATAAAATTAATTTGGAAAAATCAAAAACTTCATACATTTATTACCCTTAATGAATATGAATATTACGAATAATAATGATCATACACAACGGAGAAATCGGAGTTAGTCAGACTATAATAGCACAAAATCATGATTTTTTGCATTGTTAGTATGAGTCACGTGTGTGTAAGTTTTCAGCCATGTGTCCTCAAAATGCTAAGAACTAATGCCCTGAATATGTTGTTAACGTGGCTCGAAGTTATTATCAATGGAGTGAATGCTTTTCCTTCATATGAACTCACTGATCCAATAGATCATCATTATTCTTTATGAAATTATTCTACCTTCCATATATTTGTATCTATAATTCCTTTCCTTCTTTCCCCTACTTTTATATGAAATTTATGGTGTGATAACATGAACTACTGCAATTTATTTTGCCGTTTCACATTGAAAGTTCACTCCAATTGATGTACCAAATAACTTATTATTTATTACTTCTATGTGTAGGTAGTTAAGTGTCCAGATTATCTGGGGTAGGAGAAATTATTCAAGGTAACATAATCACTTCTACATATCAGAAAAATCTTAAGAATAAATTAATTAAAAAGCATTTACTACTGCAGAAAAGTCAGTTAAATCTGGAGTGTTGTGTCGATGTCTAGGTGCAGATGGAGTGCAGAAAGAATGTTTCATACTGATCGAGGTTTTTCACCTGAACTCACTTATATAACCATGTATAACTTTATTGATGGCTGCCGTACGAAGTGGTAGAACTTAGTTATATATTAAGAATAACAACAACTTATCATTTCCGGATAAATTTATCATATGCATGTTGTGAAACTTATATTTCCTGCCAATCAAAAATAGATTTCCTACCAAGAAAAATAGTCAGTTGACCTGAGTTACAGAAATGACTATTACAATCATAAAGATATAGGTGAAATTAGTATCCTGAACGTAATAAGCTAGTGTGTTAGGCATGTATTTCATCACCGGATTACTCTATCGAAGCACAAATGTAACTTCTATAATCATCGTATTCTCAACGTACGCTGTCTACAAAGTGCAATTATTCCAAAGTCACTACGAGTTAAACCTCTTGAATATTCGCACAAATCCATACTCGCTGAAAATCATACCTTCAAAGTATTTTTACGAGAAAAAATACATAACTGCAACGTCAAATTTGAATCTTATCGAACGAGAATCAAAAATATAGACGACTGTTTAACATTACTTGTTACAAGCCATGTCTATGAATCCTTTCAAAAATTGTTTAATCAACGAGAATCTCATTTTCATAATGTCACTAAAAGAAGACAAATAGAAAAATTATTGAAACTCGAAGAAAAGAAACAACCAAAGTAAACCTCAGAAAATGATATGAAGAATATTACAGCCATACATAACATGTCAGACAAGATACTAACCGAAAATGAAATCTCATTACTACAGAAAGCTCTGAATTTCAATATCACTAGAAAGCCATTATCGGTCCAGGAAATAGCACCTATGATCGAACCTGCTCTACAACAACTCACCAATGAAGAATCACAATCTGCTCGTCAAAAGATATCACACATATTAATCACACAACGAAACATACCATCTAATCTCACCAAACAAGAATATGAAGCCTTAAGAAATTTGAAGAAAGACAAAAGCATCGTTACAACGAAAACCGACAGGGGAAACGCGTCACTGAGATAATGAACAGAACGGATTATGAAAAGAAGGCGATTAAACACCTATCTGAAGGATCATAGTTACTTATTGAAGAGAAGAAGAAATCCGCCGAATTCAACAAAATGAAACTAAATACAAACAGACTCCTTCAAGAAATGAAACCCAAAATTGAAAATTCTCTCTGGTTTAAGCTAAAACCAAAATCTTATGTACCTTCAAGATTCTACGGTCAACCAAAGATACATAAACTCACAGTTCCATTGAGACCAGTAATAGATTTCACCAACTCACCGACATACAACCTATCTAAATACTTACTCTCGGTACTACAACCACTACAAAAGGATACTCAAAATATTGTAAGAAACTCACAGGATTTCAAATCCCAAATAGAACACCGAGAAATTGATTAAGAAGACATTATGGTAAGCTGTGATATTAACTCATTATATACTAGTATACCTATTACCGAAAGTCTTGATGTCATTTGCAGTCTACTAGAATCAGGTACAACGCTATCACAAAGATGTCCACTGGACAACAGTGAAATAATTAAGAGCTTGAAATTCTGTCTAGAAAATAATTATTTTACATTTAAAGGGAGTTTATATAGACAGACAAATGGTGTTGCCATGGGTTCACCATCTGCCCAATAGTCGCCGACTTTTTCATGAATAAATTTGAAAATAACATCTTTTCATGCATACTCACTCCTAAAATATGGTTAAGATATGTAGATGATACTTTTGTAGTACTAAAACGAGATATACACAATTCATGCCTGGAGAAAACAAACTGTGTATCTCCCAGAATTCAGTTCACTTCGGAAGCTGAATCAGACGTCGGTGAACTACCATTTCTAGACTGTCGAAAATGTATCCCGAAAACATGGACCTCAGCAGTTGTCATTCCATATAGAGCACAGAATTGTAAGGAGTTGCTGACTACATGCACTCGTGGGGAACAAATATCAGTGGATGACGTGACAAATATTTATCGAATGAAGTGGCTGAAACATCCTCGTTGATATCAATGGTAGATGATAAAAGTAATGTTGGAAAACTGGATAGATGGGAACACAGTATGAATCTATGCAGTTGGTCTTAAGCACGTAGAAAGATGTGGATATCTTGGTTCGAGTTCTCAATATTTGAAGAATATTTGGAAACTAGAAATGAAATGGCAAAATATCTTTCCAATTAAGGATGTATTTATATCTGATTACTTCAACAATTTCTAAACTACCACTAATAGGCCTTCACCTATTCTGTCTCTTCTTGTATCGACACCCGTTCACTATGACATGCCATTGTTTCTTTCCTCTCATTTCACTGTGCTATTTCTTCTCTAACAGATTGAATCATCTGTTTGTGTGCATAAGAACAATGCTTCTCATGCATTTAACACGAATGCCAATCATAATAACGAGAAAGAATAATCAAATCGCAGTCTTTGGAAGTCAGTAAAAACAAACTGTTGTCGAGTTTTAGTTTCTAGGAGTTCAATTGATTTCAGTTTTAATCACTACCTTAACATCACTTCGGAAACCAGTTTAGACCAGATAGTACAGTATAGGCTTTTCGTCATATACAAGGTAAGCACCCGCACCATTCAGCCACTGACTCGCTAATTCTGACTTCTTTGAAATAAGAATAGAACTTGTGTATTGTGCTTGAGTAAAATTGCATTGTAAATAAGATTCTGATAAATTTTCACAGTGTTATACAGTAATATTTTATGATGGCGTTTCGAGCACAGTTTATTGCTCATAATCATACCAGCTTCCTTGATAACATTGTGAGAATTTATCAAAATAAATTCTTCCCACAATGGAATTCTGACTTCTGCCGATTAGCGACCTATAAATATATATATATATATATATATATATATATATATATATATAGAGAGAGAGAGAGAGAGAGAGAGAGGTGACCTACTTTGTCTCCCAATTTGCATCCGTATGAAAAATATCCCATTTTTGCAGCGTTTCGTCCAACCTTTCAACAGTCAAGTACGTTCCATTTGAACGTATATTATTACGTGGTGATGCACTGACAAACTCCACCTCAACAATATCTGCTTTCTGTGAATAAAATGAAATTAGATAAAAAAGGAAAAAAATTTCTAGGCATCAAGTAAATCAATTATGAACAATACGGTGTAGAGTTTTTAAATGTGTCTATACATTTCAGAAAAAATATTTTAAAAATTGAATGTGTGTTTCACTGATGACCGTAAAACTTTGCATAGAAGAGTATTGATCCACGTTATCACACTTCGAAAAGGTAAATGAATGAAGAAAAGAATGAAACTTTATCAGGTAAACAATTCACACCTAACCATAAATCTTTCAAACAATATTACAGCGATTTCAACTTATTGATTCACATTCGATTAAATCCGATTCTTTTAAGTTACACAGATACAATCTCATGACACAAACAGGCAAGCATCTTTGTCGAAGATCAACGATTCCATTAATCACACTGCACAACAGCATACAAAACTTGTATTCAAAAACGAATGAACTGATGTAACAGATGAAAAAATGAAAAGAGGTGAACAGAAATAATGAATTTTGAGACAAAATAAATTTGAGGTATTCAGACTTGAAAGTATAAGAAAAAGGTATCATCTCGAATAGCACTCAAACGCCACACTTATGAATGATGTTCTGTTTGAAAGTTGTTCACTAGTGCAAGCTCTAAAAGCGCTTGAACGCGTCCGTGTTTAGCATAATATGATGAAGATTTTAGGAATAATTATTTAATAACAGCTATCATTCTTTGGTATGACCAGTGTGGTGATGGAAATGATTTCCGTCTTTTTGGCTAATCTCGTCTGATGTTTTCGTAAAACACAAAACAAGTTTGGTGGGGTTAAAGTGTCGGTATTATGTTACTGTCCATCTTTTTCTAACATCTAAAGTGAGACGTGTGGCACCACAATATTATGCTAATCAACTTAACCAAGACATTCAAACCAATGATAAATTAAGAAGAGATATATAACTTCCCATCTTGTAACAAAGTTTTGACATTATGATGGGGAATAAACATCCTTATACTTATTAAGCATTTATCTTAAAACGAAAGCACTAACTAATTTGACTAGAGAAGCTTGTAACTAACATGCCTATGTTAATCGCTATGTTTCTGTTCTAGTAATGCCAGTCAAAATAAAAGGACTAGTTTTACACTACTACATTTATTACTAATGTATTTGTCATGTTACACTTTATAGAAAGACTGACGTAAATACACCATTGTGACAAATGCTTCTATGCAACAGCTGCTTGTTAAAGTGATTTTACCAATAGATTTATAAACGTTTTTATAAAATTAAGAGAGTATCGATATGCAAATATAAAATGCAACAGTTAATGTAGACCTACAGAATTAATTAATTAATTCTAAATGAAACCTACGGAGAAAGAACCTGCTCAAATAAGTCATAGAATGAACTCACATTGCAGCTTTCAAGAGATCGAAATTCAACAAGGACTAAAACAGAGATTATATAGAAATAACTAAATATTATCTAATTAAACTGCTAGTTTGCGTTCAGATGCATACAGTGTTTCAAGTCTTATTTTCACGAGTGTCCATCCGAAGAAGCGTTGGTGTCATACCATACCGCACTTACTTTGTGCTGATTAACTCATACACAGTTTCACAAGCTCAGCCATTATTATTCATATAAGTTAATAAAATTTATCCTCAAAATCATTCCTTACCATTATAATGCCTCAACTTTGTGTCTTATTTTCAGTGCTTACATATTAGACAATCTACTGATAAAATACGTACTAGTGCGCATCAGCTTTGCTAAGAACTAATTAAGTGTTATGCAGTAACGATATATTCAATCTTTAAAACTTGTAAGCCGGAGTATCAATGTCTTACTGTAACTAGTATCTGTGTCAGTTTTAGTGGATTTTTTCGCTAGTTTTTTATTTTTTTTCACTTACATTCACGCTGACATTTTAAATGACCTATATATCACACCCAAATGTGGTGTAGAACACATGGGAATATGTGGTATTGATGGTTTCCTACCTCCATTAATTGTCTTACCTTATAGGCACAAAGATTATCCGCTTGAATCGTCAGAACAATAGTAAGAATCGCGTTGCAGCCCATACACTTACAGAAGACTAGATCGAAGATAGTTACCCAGAGTTCGCCTGCAAAAATGATCGTGGAGATTTTCTAGGTACCCTGGCACTGTTGTCCTCATCGGATATATTGCGCCTGATGATTAACAGAAACTGCAAGAACTTTTACAACGTGTATATTTCGTCGATTGTGAACCTACACTAGTGTTTTATTAAATGTAGTAGTAAGTATCAGACTTCAAGAGTGACTGTGCGTTTGTCAATCAACTGTGGTTGTGAGGAATCTGAATGACGATCAATAACTCTTTTCTAATTGAGGTGATGGAAGCAACTGATAAGAGAGTAGATGCGAATAAGCCCACGAAAGGTATTTCAGTGGCAATGGCAAGCGGCAGTCAAACATAAAAGAGCGCGTGCGCACACCCAACAACATTTACAGTGAATGACAACTTTAAAACGTACAATGCGAAAATGTTACATGTCCAGTAAGTACCGTGTTAAAGTCTTCTACAGTGTGAAAGATGCTAGAAATGACACTCCATACGTGGACTAAAGTTTAGTTATCTTCTTCACGTCAAATTAAATTTCACACCTTTGGTTGAGATAAACTGACAAATGAAGTGACTATTATACTTCTATACTTAATTTCGTGAAATTTAATTCACATAAAGTATGGCTGTGACCAAGATTTGCATAAAAATCTTTATTCATTTTTGAACACTTAAATACTAGTCTGCTGAATCAATAAAACAGACAGAATTACACTTTTACATTTTCTTTAGTTTCTAAATTCAGTCTACACTTAAGATACAGAATTTGATATATCGACCTACTAAGTAAGAATTATTTTTATCTCGATTGTTCAATGAGAAAAATTTAAGTGAAAACAGTTATATTACTATTAAGTAGTGAAATGCTGCTTTCGTAATTTTAATGTACAAGGCTGCTTGATTTACCGAAAATTCACTCGTCCTAGACATTTTAACAACTATTTAAAACGGCCTTCTTTTTCTGTAGAGACAGATATAAAATATAGATCACTTGTGGACTAAAAAGCAATACTCACAGAGGCAACAGATCACAAATGATTGACACTCGACAATGTATTACTTTGCAACAGTTAGTCCCTTCGATAAATTTAAGTAAGACATTTAGAAGACAAACACTGAGAGATGATATCATTTCATGGCTTTTCCACAGTCACTTTACGTCTGTCATGGTTCGCAACAATAAAGTAAAGTATTTCACAATTGCTGCGTCTGGTTTCAAGACTATTATTAATAACTGTTTCTCAATTATTTCGCTTAATTTCATGCTGGAGGCGCTTTGGGTTAATCATATGCATCCCAAGGTATCTGTACAGAAAACAATACACTTAAGACTTTGCTTGCCTTGACCGACTAAAATATAGTTGATTATTAGCATGCACACTTACAGTTGAATAACTGTCAAACATTTTAGTTTATCATTGTGAGCCATGATACCTGTAAAGCGATCATTAAGAAACTACGAAATGATATCATTTCACAAAATTTGTCGTCTCAATGTCTTATTTAAATATGTTATGTCACTGAAAAAAGCAAAGCAAGTAATTTTTTAGTATGAGCACTCGTTTTAAAAAGGTCCATGCCGCCTTCAACTTATTCACCGATAATGCTCCAATCAGTAGTAGTTGCAGACAAGTTCCGTAACATTATCTCACTCCTGGAGTCTGCGTGCTACAAGATGATGAAAATGCTTTACAGTAGCTAAATAACTCCACTATCTCAATGCATCTTTCATAAAGCAAAATAAAGATGCTGGGATTAAGTATTCACAAAGCATAGTACTGAATATCATCACTCAAGTTGAGGTATCTCCTAAAAATTTTATACATCTGCACGAATTAGAATAGGGCACATTGATACGTATAATATAACTGCAGAGTACTGTCTTCACAAACATACGTTGTTACAACACCTCTAGACCAATAGGGTGGAGAGCTGTGAAGAAAATTGTTTCAATGGCCATATATTTTGTGGAGTAAGTTAGTCGCAAGTTATCAGCTGTCTTCATAATGGTTTCACCGTCACTGTAAATAAAATTTGACTTCTTCAGGAAAATAATTACTACAATACCCATACAGAAAATTAATTAGATCCTGTCTCCAACTTTCGCCTGAAAAAGCCTAGAAACAGCATGCAATATACTATTTATCCCTTATTTCAAAAAGTGAAGTAACAATTATATATATATATATATATATATATACATAACACGAACACTCCTGGAAACTCTAAGCAGATATACTACCTATTAGAACAATCAGTTGAACATAGTGGCGTAGCGGCATTTCATGACTAAGGTGGTTTATTTAACAAGCTTTCACTGTCTTTTTGAACAACATCAGTATAAAGTATGCGTTGCAGATGGCATTTGGAAAGACTATCAAAGCTTCAAAAAGAAATCATAGAACTCAGAGAATACAATGACATCAGTATCAACAAACGGGGCTACAAATCTTCATGATAATCAATCAGTCAATCGTCTAATGAGTAAAACTGTAATGCCCTCAGTGAATTTTGAGCCTAAGGGTGAAAATAAGTGAATCGTAAGGATTTATTAAATATGTACAGAGGTTTGTGGTGTGATTACATAGAGTTTGCAAATTAGGTGGTAAACTGAATTTTACTGGTTCTACTTGCATACTATAACCTAGATTTCATTCTCAATCCAACAAGCATTCTCATTTATCAATAATTTAACGGAAAAGACTGTGAAACAATGTTTAATTTTGAGACAACTAACTTGTTAAAAAAGCGAGCAATTTAAAAACAAAACACCACTTAATTCAACTTTAAATAAATATTAAATAAAGTCTGGTAGTTTATACAAAGGAAGAAAGCGTTCTGCATGCATCAGGTATCAAATTTTATTCACAATAGATTGTTAAAAAGTATGCGATGTGGTTATTGAACGCACAGGTGGTATGCCTTGATTTTAAATTAGTTTAAGTAAACTAATTATTGAGGAATCTAATTCACTGAAATGAATTACAACGAACGACTTCTTTATAAGTCAATAGTTGTAAATATAATCTGCATCTGAAATCTGAAACCGCTTTCATGGGATAATATGAAAACCATTCTAATAACAGCACAATGTTTTTGTAAAATTAAGGTATCCAGTAATCCATTAAGGCAATTATAATTCCCCTTATTTCTGTGTTTATTGTGTCTATGAAAATCTCATGATGCTAGCAACAATATTCTCATTACATAACGTGGACGTACCCGATAGTATATTGATTCTGGTTGTTTCAGTACACTACCGAAATTCTTCCCAAGTGGTGCTGTATCATATAAAACCTTTGGTACAAAACTTAACAGTTTATCGACAAAGTATGGAGATGGAGGTCCTTGATCAAGTTTTATTTTCTGTTTGGTAAAGAAAATATAGAAAGAATTAAAAAAAATATTAACAGCCACGATAACATTGCACGGCATCAACGATATATCACTAATTCATAGAAGTTATGAATTTGAAACAGTTGAGTTTTAACTTAGTCGTTGGACGATACAAATGTCCACCTCAAAACTTGATAATTACTGTTTTGACAACTTGCATAGTTTGTTAGATGCTTATTTCCGAAGAATTTCAAATTAAAATGTAGCATTTACTTAATAGTGCTTCAGTTTTGATGATCGTCTGACTGTTGTCGGTTCGTGACAAATTTATTATGATATTATCCAAAACGTCTAATTTCGTCTTCCCTTCCTAAAGAGCAACTGAAAGTCAGCGTTTACATCTACAGGGATATAACGCTTATAGTGAAACCAGTTGAAAAATCTTATGAAGAAGCTCTTTCTTGACATTATGTGAAAAGTTACATTGCATCATGAAGACTAAGTGGCCGACTGTAATATGTACATTCCGTCCCATTTGGAGCCCATCAGCTCGACGTACCTGCAACCCCCCCTCCCCCCAGTGTGTGATGGTGTCTCCACAGGGACTAAAACACAGCACCCATCATTCCCATTGGACCACGACAGCCACCTCTTATGCAACAGGCATCATTTATTTTGCAATTGCAATGACTGATCATAATGGAACGAAATTTTGTGTCTCTGCTAACATGTCGGCTGCTAGAACGGATTCTTCGGTGATGTCAGAGGATTAACATGTGGTTGTTTCCTAAATGATGACTGGCAATGCAATCTAGGATGCGCACTTGGGACTTGTCAGCTGGATCTTCCTCTAGTCACCACTGAATGATGGTGTTCCAAAAGAAACTCAACCAACGGAGAGTACAACATTAACGTGAAAAATTATTTATCAAGAAGGTTTATTCATTTTGATTTGACACTAGTAACTAGTGTGATGCATCTAGTCCTCTGATTAGTGTAGACTGAATTCTATCAGTCAGGTTGTAATGTAACCACCATTAGCTGAAAACTTCCCCGATATGCAACAGGCGCTCGACCAGATAAATCACCTCGCGCCTACTATCGGCTTGAAAAATTAACACTTCCAAAACCAAAATGTTTTCGAACACATCCACCGGCAATGATGAAATCTTATCCCTAAATGGAGCACCTATTGAAATTGTGCCATCCTTCAGATATCTGGGATCCATAATGCTCCCCAACGGCCAAGCGAAAAACGAAGTGAATGCGCGAATCTCCAACGCCCGGAATGCGTTTCTACAGCTGAGGAGCGTTCTATGGAGCAAGAGAGAAATCAGTCTCAGGACTAAAATTCGGGTCTACCAAGCTTCCATACGACCCGTTCTGCCGTATGGCTGTGAAACCTGGCCTCTTCGCGCGGAAGATTTACGCAGACTCGAGGTATTAGACCATTGGTGTCTCAGGTACATTCTGCATGTTCGTTGGCAGGACAAACTCTCCAACGAAGAAGTGCGTCGTCGTTGCTACAACATCAACCAAATTCCAGTACTGGTCCAACAACGCCGCCTTCGGTGGTTTGGCCATGTTCTGCACCGACCAGATGACGATCTGGTCAAATCAGTTCTAAATCCCTCGCCATTACCATCTCGGCGATGTCGCAGAGGCGGACAGCTGAAGACATGGCTTGGTACAGTCAAGGCAGATATGGAGTGCCTGGGGCTACAAACCGTCTACGGACTCCGTATGTGGAACAAGAATTGGATATCCCTATCCCAAAACCTTGCTTCAGATCGCCGCGCCTGGGCAGCGATGATTCGAGACGTTCATGAAGCCGGCTCATCCTCCCGTAGGAGATAGCCGAAGTAAAGTAAAGTAAGTAAAGTAGTAACCACCATTCTAGCTAGCTCGCAATCACGGTGCACATTGATTTGATGGTATTAGATGGTTGGAGGCAATCGGCAGTCTCAGAAGGAATATGAGTTCCTTCAAGGTTACAGATACGCCTTACTGACGAGTGCCAACCAGCACGAAACCTAGGTCCAAGGCTTCCTACCGATTGCCTTCAACCATCTAATGTTAATTCATACTGAACGCTAATAGAATTCACTTTAAATATCTAATTAGGAAAGGAATGTAACTAAGCTAAGTGAATTCACTTGTACAAAGAAGTTATCAGATGAGCAGTATGCTTGCCAATATTATATTTTTTTGAATAATAACTAACAGCACCTATATCTGTCAGACACAGCATTTGAAATCAAAAGAGAATAATTAAAAACTTCATCCAAGAGAAATGACTAACTATCATTATGTTGCCACAGATAGTGTCACCTAATCAATTTTATATTCAAATCTTTATAGTCTTTTTCTACTTTCTTTCTACTATCGTAAAAATTGCTCTTAGTTAACAATCACCTTATTACCTATTGAACTAACTTGACAAATTGCGGTGCATTTCCTGTAAAAAAGAATGTAAACACTTCTTGATGAGCTAGTCAATTCTTGACATTATTCTTATTACTTTTCAAGAGTTTGTATTGTTTCGTTAAAGAAAAAGGAGACGAAATTTGCAACATAAAATATCATTCTATTTCAAAGGTCCTCATCAGCTGCAGACTACCCGAAATTACAATGATTATATAGACGATAATAACACACTTTAATGATTAAGTGTTAGTAGAGAAGAAATAATATAAAAGTGACGCATCCAAAATATAAGCAGTATAATTTTTAGTTGAAGTTTTCATCATCAATTAATGCGCTTTCACAGCAGAAAAGATGGGAGATGAGTAAGTCGGGAAACATAAAAAATTAATAAACAACGTTAGCTTATAGGTTCATACAGCAACTCAAAAAATATAAGCGGTTACACTTTATAAGATTGAGATTTGTTCAGTGAGTTGAGATCATTGAATTAGATGACTAATTTATTAAAAACCACAATTCAGTTACCAAGGTAGTAACAGATTAATCACACTCTCTTTCTGTAGGCATAAGTGTGGTTTGAGTCGCTTGATTGCGATCGCTTCAGGAAATCGCAGTAAATTTGCTTTCCTTTGTCCATTCAATATTTTGAAGGAATTAATAATCTCTACGGGATGACCAGTATCAACAATATGTCTGGTAACTGCAATTTGAGAATATTTGCTTCCTTTCAGGCACAAGTTTCTTGGAATATGTTATTATATCCTTGGGTTCCTAGTGGAACATAAGGCTTCAACAGCACGTCTCTACTCGCTTCTGTCTTCTGCTGTACTTTTAACCTGCATCCATGTTAGTCCATACTGTTTCAACTCCTCTTCACACAATATCCTCCAATGTCACACTTGGAAGTCCCACTCGCCGCTTCCCTTTCGGGTTCCACTCGAGCAATGGCCTGACGCGCGATGTCACCAACCGGCCTCCTCAGCGAGTGTCCAATCCATTTCCGATTTCTCCTGTATATTGGCCGATTGGTTCTTGTTTTGTTTGTTCCCATATTTTCTTGTTGGTGATTCTTTCCGGGTCGGCCATCTGATCTTCAGCATAGAGCGAAGGCAGTTGTTGATAAAGGTCCGCAACAGGCTGTTGGAGATATTCTTTGTGACCCACCAAGTTTCTGATCCGTATAGAAGAGCTGACTGACTTGACGTTTGTATTGAAAATCCGACCGAATTTTGTTGTTGATGCTGGCTGAGTGACGAAGATTTCCAGGTTGGTTTCAGGTTGATGAATGTGTTTCTCGCTCGCCTTCCCGATTCTCGCTCGATTTGACATCCTCGTCCGTTCCGACTGCCTGCAGTTGAGACAATGCTCCCTAGATAAGTGAGTGAATGAAGCAGCCTCTTTCAAATCCCTCCCGTTGATGGTGAATGACGCTGGATGTTGCTGCTGTTGTTGGTTGGTTATTTTCATAGATATAAGAATAAAACTTGTGCACTGTGGTAGAGTGTAATTACATTATGGGTAAATTTTGTTTTGATAAAGTCTCACAGTGTTATATAGTAATGTTTACTGATGACGTTTCGAGCACAATTTATTGCTCATAATCATTTATATAGTTCCGTTGTTTTTCACTTGGTTTTATTGGTAATAGTATTTTCCATATTTCAGGTATGAGTGATGAGTCATTCCTATTGTATGTGTTGGATGTAGACTCGATGAACAAGGATTCAGTAATCAACCTCTCTCTCCACCTATCTAGATTACTTTTTAGAATTTTAACCCTCTCCCACTCTATTGTGTGGTTGTGTTTTAATGCATTGCAATCGCTGAGCTTTTTTCTAAATTACTTATCTTCTCGAGGTCAACCATTCTTACCTTAGCTAAATTCTTATGTTCTGACAATATGACTACCCCTGACCTACTAGTTTCACCTATGTAGTTGACCTCACAGTCATTGCAGGGTATTTTGTAGATTATATTATTTTATCTAATTGGGTCAACTGGGACCTTTAACCTACAGAGCTTGTCCCTGAGTGAGTTTGTAGGTTTGAATGCCACCCTAATTCCTACTTTATTTAGAATCCTACGTAGGTTCTCAGATGTCCCCTCTTTATATGGTATAACTGTAGATGACTTATATTCTCTCTTATTTATGTTAGTATTACTAGTTTCACAATTATTTTTATTTTGTTTTTGGCCTTTAATGATCTTCCTAATGGATTTTAAAGGATAGTTATTCAACACCAACGCTTCTTCTATCTGTTTTATTTTATCATTTAGGTCGTTTTTGTACTACTTAGTGCCACTGCTCGGTTTGTTAAACACTTAACTAGGCCTGCCTTAACAGTTAGCGGATGAGACGAATTAAAGTCTAAATATCTATTAGAATGCGTTGGTTTTCTATAAACACTAGTGTGTAGTTTGCCTTCTTCTATTCTTTTAATCATATAATCTAACATAGCTAATTCTCCTCGTTCATTTTCTGATTCAAATGTGAATTTTATTCCTTCTACTTGTGAGTTTATATGTGTCAAGAAGCTAGAGATATGTTCAGATTTTAACACTGTGAAAGTGTCATCCACATACCTCCACCACATTTTCCGAGT